GGGGGGATTTGGGATAAATTTTGGTTAAATTTGGGGTAAATTTGGGTTAAATTTTGGGTTAAATTTTGGATAAATTTCAGATAAATTTGGGATAAATTTCAGTTAAATTTTGGGTAAATTTTGGGTAAATTTCGGGTGAATTTCAGGTGAATTTTGGGTAAATTTTAGATGAATTTGGGGTAAATTTCAGTTAAATTTTGGGTAAATTTGGGATAAGTTTTGGGTAAATTTGGGATAATTTGGGTTAAATTTTGGACAAATTTCAGTTAAATTTAGGATAAATTTCAGATACATTTGGGTAAATTTTGGGTAAATTTTGGGTGAATTTCGGATGAGTTTTGGGTAAATTTCAGTTAAATTTTGGGTGAATTTTGGGTGAATTTTGGGTGAATTTCAGTTAAATTTGGGATGAATTTGGGTGAATTTGGGGTGAATTTCGGGTGAATTTCGGGTGAATTTTGGGATAAATTTTGGGTAAATTTCAGTTAAATTTGGGTAAATTTGGGGTAAATTTTGGGTGAATTTCGGGTGAATTTTGGGTGAATTTGGGTGAATTTTGGGATAAATTTTGGGTGAATTTCAGTTAAATTTGGGATAAATTTGGGTGAATTTCGGGTGAACTTCAGGTGAATTTTGGGATAAATTTTGGGTAAATTTGGGTAAATTTTGGGTAAATTTTGGGTGAATTTCGGATGAGTTTTGGGTAAATTTCAGTTAAATTTTGGGTGAATTTTGGGTGAATTTTGGGTGAATTTGGGGTAAATTTTGGGTGAATTTCGGGTGAATTTGGGTAAATTTTGAGTGAATTTCGGATAAATTTTAGATAAATTTTGGGTAAATTTGGGTAAATTTTGGGTGAATTTCGGGTGAATTTGGGTAAATTTTGAGTGAATTTCGGATCAATTTTAGATAAATTTTGGGTAAATTTGGGTAAATTTTGGGTGAATTTCGGGTGAATTTGGGTAAATTTTGAGTGAATTTCGGATCAATTTTAGATAAATTTTGGGTAAATTTGGGTAAATTTTGGGTGAATTTCGGGTGAATTTGGGTAAATTTTGAGTGAATTTCGGATCAATTTTAGATAAATTTTGGGTAAATTTGGGTAAATTTTGGGTGAATTTGGGGTAAATTTGGGGTAAATTTTGTGTGAATTTCAGTTAAATTTGGGATAAATTTGGGTGAATTTTGGGTGAATTTCAGGTGAATTTTGGGATAAATTTTGGGTAAATTTTGGGTTAATTTTGGGTGAATTTGGGGTGAATTTGGGGTAAATTTGGGGTAAATTTTGTGTGAATTTCAGTTAAATTTGGGTGAATTTGGGGTGAATTTGGGGTGAATTTCAGATGAATTTTGGGTGAATTTTGGGTGAATTTGGGGTGAATTTGGGTTAATTTTGGGTGAATTTCAGATGAATTTTGGGATGAATTTTGGGTGAATTTGGGGTGAATTTCAGTTAAATTTGGGTGAATTTGGGTGAATTTGGGTGAATTTTGGGTGGATTTTGGGATAAATTTTGGGTAGATTTTGGAATAAATTTTGGGTGAATTTCAGTTAAATTTGGGGTGAATTTGGGATAAATTTTGGGTGAATTTCAGATTAATTTTGGGATGAATTTTGGGTGAATTTCAGTTAAATTTGGGTAAATTTTGGGTGAATTTGGGGTGAATTTTGGGATAAATTTTGGGTGAATTTTGGGATGAATTTTGGGTAAATTTGGGGTAAATTTTGGGTGATTTTTGGGTGAATTTAGGATGAATTTTGGGTGAATTTTGGGTGAATTTGGGGTGAATTTGGGTGAATTTTGGGTGAATTTGGGGTGAATTTCAGTTAAATTTGGGATGAATTTGGGATAAATTTTGGGTGAATTTTGGGTGAATTTGGGTAAATTTGGGATGAATTTTGGGATAAATTTTGGGTGAATTTTGGGTGTATTTGGGGTGAATTTGGGGTAAATTTTGGGTGAATTTGGGAAGAATTTGGGATGAATTTGGGGTGAATTTGGGGTGAATTCTGTGTGAATTTCAGGTGAATTTTGTGATAAATTTTGGGTGAATTTCAGTTAAATTTGGGTAAATTTGGGGTGAATTTGGGGTGAATTTTGGGTGAATTTCAGATGAATTTAGGGTGAATTTTGGGTGAATTTGGGATGAATTTGGGGTAAATTTTGGATGAATTTTGGGATGAATTTTGGGATGAATTTTGGGATGAATTTTGGGTGAATTTGGGGTGAATTTTGGGTGATTTTTGGGTGAATTTTGGGTGAATTTGGGGTGAATTTGGGTGAATTTGGGGTCCCCCCAGCCCCGGGGGTCTCCGTGCCCCCCTCTCCTCCTGGCGGGCGGTGCTGGGGCGGCTGCGGCTGCACGGAGTGACCGGAAACCGGAGTGACCACGGGAGTGACCACGGGAGTGACCACGGGAGTGACCACCTGAATGACCCATCTGGAAACTGGAGTGACCACTGGAGTGACCACGGGAGTGACCACACGAGTGACCACTGGAGTGACCACGGAAGTGACCTGGCCAGAAACACCACTGACCACCTGAGTGACCACTGGAGTGACCTGGCTGGAAACTGGAGTGACCATGAGAGTGACCACTGGAGTGACCACCCAAATGACCACTGGAGAGACCACGGGAGTGACCACGGGAGTGACCACGGGAGTGACCCCAAGGATGACCCCAAGGATGACCCCAAGGATGACCCCAGGAGTGACCACTTGAGTGACCACTTGAGTGACCACAGGAGTGACCCCAGTGATGACCCCAAGAGTGACCACTCAAGTGACCACTCAAATTACCACCGGAGTGACCACAGGAGCGACCACAGGAGTGACCACTCGAGTGACCCCAGTGATGACCACCGGAGTGACCACTCAAGTGACCACTCAAGTGACCACGGGAGTGACCCCAGGAGTGACCACCGGAGTGACCACAGGAGCAACCACAGGAGTGACCGCAGTGATGACCACAGGAGTGACCACTCGAGTGACCACGGGAGTGACCATGGGAGTGACCACAGGAGCAGCCCCAGGAGTGACCACAGGAGTGACCACCCAAATGACCACCGGAGTGACCCCAGGAGTGACCACAGGAGTGACCGCAGTGATGGCCCCAGGAGTGACCACTCAAGTGACCACTCAAGTGACCACTCGAGTGACCACTCGAGTGACCCCGAGCAGGGTCAGGAGCTGTCCGTGGCCGAAGTCGTTGTCCACCCGCGGTTCCGCGGTGTCCGGAGGGGTCACGACCTGGCCTTGGTCCGGCTCCGGCCTCCGGCCACGCTCGGACCTCGGGTGGGCACCGTCTGCCTGCCCCTCCCCCACCACGCCCCGCCCTTCGGCCGCGGCTGCTGGATGGCCGGCTGGGGTCACCTGGGGGAGGACGGTGAGTGACCGCTCCAAACTGACCCAAACTGACCCAAAATGAGCCAAAATGAGCCAAAATGAGCCAAACTGACCCAAATCTGATCAAAAACTGACCCAAACTGACCCAAAATGACCCAAACTGACCCAAACTGACCCAAAATGAGCCAAAATGAGCCAAACTCACCCAAATCTGATCAAAAACTGACCCAAAATGAGCCAAAATGAGCCAAACTGACCCAAATCTGATCAAAAACTGACCCAAACTGACCCAAAGTGAGCCAAAAACACCAAAAACTGACCCAAACTGACCCAAACTGACCCAAACTGACCCAAACTGAGCCAAAATGAGCCAAACTGACCCAAATCTGATCAAAAACTGACCCAAACTGACCCAAACTGACCCAAAATGACCCAAAATGACCCAAACTGACCCAAATCTGATCAAAAACTGACCCAAACTGACCCAAACTGACCCAAAATGACCCAAAATGAGCCAAACTGACCCAAATCTGATCAAAAACTGACCCAAACTGACCCAAACTGACCCAAAATGACCCAAAATGAGCCAAACTGACCCAAATCTGATCAAAAACTGACCCAAACTGACCCAAACTGACCCAAAATGACCCAAAATGAGCCAAACTGACCCAAATCTGATCAAAAACTGACCCAAACTGACCCAAACTGACCCAAAATGACCCAAAATGACCCAAACTGACCCAAATCTGATCAAAAACTGACCCAAACTGACCCAAACTGACCCAAAATGACCCAAAATGACCCAAACTGACCCAAACTGACCCAAAATGACCCAAACTGACCCAAACTGACCCAAACTGACCCAAAACTGACCCAAAACTGACCCAAAAACATCAAAATCTGACCCAAAACTGACCCCAAAACCCCAAATCTGATCAAAAAGTGACCCAAACTGACCCAAACTGATCCAAAACTGACCCAAAACTGACCCAAAAACCCCAAATCTGATCAAAAACTGACCCAAACTGACCCAAAATGACCCAAAATGACCCAAAACTGACCCGAAGACCCCAAATCTGATCAAAATCTGATCAAAAACTGACCCAAACTGACCAAAACTGACCCAAACTGACCCAAAGGCTCAGGGTAATTTGAAAAATCACCCAAAACTGACCCAAAACTGACCAAAAACCCAAAATCTGATCAAAAAGTGACCCAAACTGACCCAAACTGACCCAAAACTCATCAAAAAAATCAAAAATCACCAAAAACTGACCCCAAAACCCCAAATCTGATCAGAAACTGACCCAAAAACCCAAAATCTGAGCAAAACCTGATCAAAAACATCAAAAATCACCAAAAACTGATCCAAAAAACCCCAAAATCTGATCAAAATCTGACCCAAAACCCCCCAAATCCAGCCCAAACCCACCCCCAAAAATCCCAGCTCTGGGGTGATAATTTGGGGAGGGGTCTCAGGTGACTCAGGGGAATTTGGGGAGGGGTCTCAGGTGCCAATTTTGGGTTCCCAGGTGCCAAATTTGGGGTCTCAGGTGACTCATGAGAGTCCCAGGTAATTCGGGGAGGGGTCTCAGGTGGCTCAGGGTAATTTGGGGAGGGGTCTCAGGTGACTCAGGGGAATTTGGGGAGGGGTCTCAGGTGATTCAGGAGGGTCCCAGGTAATTTGGGGAGGGGTCTCGGGTGATTTGGGTCCCTCCCAGGTGTTAATTTGGGCTCCCAGGTGCCAAATTTGGGCTCCCAGGTGACTCACGTTAATTTGGGGAGTGGTCTCAGGTGACTCAGGTTAATTTGGGGAGGGATCTCAGGTGATTTGGGTTAATTTGGGGAGGGGTCTCAGTTGATTTGGGTCCCTCCCAGGTGTTTCAGGTCCCTGCCAGGTGCAATTTTGGGCTCCTAAATGCCAATTTTGGGGTCTCAGGTGCCAATTTTGGGGTCTCAGGTGCCACATTTGGGGTCTCAGGTGACTCAGGTTAATTTGGGGAGGGATCTCAGGTGATTTGGGTCCCTCCCAGGTGGTTCAGTTCCCTGCCAGGGGCAATTTTGGGCTCCTAAATGCCAATTTCGGGGTCTCAGGTGCCAAATTTGGGGTCTCAGGTGACTCAGGTTAATTTGGGGAGGGATCTCAGGTGATTTGGGTCCCTCCCAGGTGGTTCAGTTCCCTGCCAGGGGCAATTTTGGGCTCCTAAATGCCAATTTCGGGGTCTCAGGTGCCAAATTTGGGGTCTCAGGTGACTCAGGAGGGTCCCAGGTAATTCGGGGAGGGGTCCCGGCTGTTAATTTGGGTCTGGGGTCTCCCCAGAGCCGCTTCCCCGGGGCTGGCCCCTGCAGGAGCTGCGGCTGCCGCTGCTCTCCCCCCACACCTGTAACTGCCTCCACCATCACCTGCGGCAGCGACACCTGGCCCGGCCCGCCCGGCCCGGCATGGTCTGCGCCGGGGGGGCGGGCGGGGGGCGCGGGGCCTGCCAGGTGAATTTGGGGAGGGGTCTCGGGGGGGTTTGGGGGCGATTTTTGGGGTTAAATTGGGATTTTTGGGGATTTTTTGGGGATTTTTTGGGGATTTTTTTTAATTTTTGGGGGATTTTTTGGGGATTTTTTTGGGATTTTTGGGGTTAAATTGGGGGCGGGGGGCGCGGGGCCTGCCGGGTGAATTTGGGGAGGGGTCTCGGGGGGGTTTGGGGGCGATTTTTGGGGTTAAATTGGGATTTT